TCCAAACTTGATAGAATAGAAGGCATCCCCATTAGCCATATGTGCAGCATCTTAATCATCTCTCCTGTGGTATTTTAGCTCCAGAGAATTAGGAGCAACTCAGAACACATCAGGTCTGCCAGACTGTGCCTCCTTTAGCCTTCATGGGACTAGTCCTGATGCCTGCGATGGATAGTTCTAGAAAAAGTTTTTATTGCAGACCCTAATTCAGATTAAAGACCTGCATAAGTTGGGTTGATTTTTTTTTTTTTTTCAAAAGCTCTAGCATTTGCAATTTTCACAAGCTCAAGAAAATCGGAAAATGAGCATAACATTTAAAAAAAATTAGATGTGGATTTATGAACCTGATTTTATGCATTTCTGCTTGAAAATTCTGGAATCCATTACTGAAGCTCTTCACCACATGTATTTTAATAAGCATCATATGAGGAGAAGAGCAGCAGGACTGAGGCTTGATTGTTTAACTGGCTCAGTGCTTCTAAAGATTCAGGTGCCAACAGTGAATTTTATGGCTGTTACTAAAATTCCAAGAAATAGTAAGGACTTAGTCTTGTGGCATTGCCGTATTTTTCACTTGGGAGAATCCCACCCACAAGCCCTGCAGTCCAGTCAAATGACTTAACAGAATATTGCTTGGGTTGCTAGAGCATTTGCTCCTCAGTGCAGCACTTCAAGGCTAATTACAGCATTGATCCCTGGTGGCTGCCAATAATTTCGCTACTGGAAAAGAAAAAGGAAAGAATTATCCAGGAGAATTCTTGGGCTGGTTCACTTGTTTTACTCTTGTGTAACTTCAGTGATATTTTAGTTGTCTAGAACTGGAGCAATGCAAGTATGGGATGCTCTGTTCTCAGGACCGGAATGGGACAGTATAGTTTTTGCTGTGGGTTTTTCACCATCCAGTGGGGCACATCCTTTGAGTCTAGGGTTCTGCAGCTACCCTACAGGTTCTAACAGTGGTGAAACTTTTAAAACCTGATGTTTTAAACAAAGGATTCTTAGAATGATTAAGTGATCAACACCTTCAAAACCTTCCTGTTGCTAAGACCAAGCTACTCATAAAATCCAGGAGAATTAGATCACTTCCCGCAGTGAGACCTGAACACTTATTTCCCATCGGGATGCCGTTTTAAAGCAACAAATGACGCTGCTAATTCTTGTTCAGCATGGGTGTAGATAGACCTGGCCTGGGTGACATCTTGTCTGGGCCCGGACCAGGAAAGAAGTTTATTGTTTTCCATCAGCCGTTGATCAAGCAAAGCAGGGGTGTATGAGGCACAAGGGTGGCTTCACATGCTTGGCCAAGCATTGGCAAGCAATTCCTCTCCTTGTCCTTGCTAGGGGGGCTGCGGATTAAGGTTTGCCAAAATGTTGCCTGAAAAATCCCCTGCTGTTAAGAGGAAAAACTGTCAGCATAAAAGGCCTCTTTCAGCCACCTCATGATGGGTAGGAAGGGACAGATTCCTCCTGTGAAAGCCTTCAGTAAACTGTTACCTTTCCTAAATTGTGATAGTAGGACTCTTTTCTAGAAAATGGAGCAACAGATTCCTGTCTCTTGGGCTAGCAGAGATGTGGGTGGGATTGTACAGACAGATGTCATCTAGACAAATGACTTTCCCTCCCAAAGCTTCACACGGAGGCCTTTCCATCCACACTGATTTCCCCAAACTCTGCCTACTCCTCCCCTGTACCATAGCTAACCCATGTCATAAAAGACTTCTTGTGCCCCTGACTCCTACTGTAGACTAAGATTTGCTTCAGATTTTTTCCCAATTTGGAATACTTTAAAAACAAATCTATAAAAGAGGGGAATTACAGTACATCGATGAATTCCACTTTCAGCAGAGCCTTCTTTCTATGTATAAAAGACTGTGCCAATAAACTATGATTTATATGTGTGTCATTCTCATGCCCCAAATAGTAGTGATGCCAACATTTTATACTTTTTTAACTTTTTTTATAAACTCTGGACAATCAATGCTTTGTTTGAAATATTTTCATAAACAAGATGGAATTTACATCAGTGACTACTTCTAATAGCCACTGAACTGACTTCAGAACAAGGGAATTTTTTGAAAGCAGGCAGTAGGAGTTATATAGGCTGGAACACTTTCATATCCTAAGACTGAAAATTGTATCGGCTTTTTAAAATGCAATTTGAAAAAATAATAATTTACCTTTAATCTAGGAACTCAGCCGCACTGTTTTGGGTAAAATCACAAAACCAGAAAACCAGGTTATTTTTTTGGTGTTCACATTTGGTGGGTAACATTCTCCAAAACCACGTTTCGAGACATTATAATCAATTTAAAGTATGACAGTGTCATTGAATTCAAATCAATCGTGTTTTAATGTATTGTGCAAACTGAAGCGAAACTGAGCTTTAATTGGGACACTGGCATATAAAATTACCATACTTTGTATACTTTAAAATCAAATAAAACAGTAAATGAGAATACCAGAGATGCTGTTTAAAAAGAACTATAACATCCTTTGCTGATCATCCTAGCTTCCTTGCTTACAAATTATATCCCTTTCTCTGCAATTCTTAGATTTGAGCTTTCTGCCTTTTAAGATTTTATACTAAAGTTTGCATATGAATGTAGTGAATTTAAGTAATCTGCTCTTATCTTTAAGCATATAACTTTTCCTTGCATCAGCTTCTTAGGCATTATCTTTCCTGCTAAAAGTGGCTTTGTTTTGTTTTATTTTATTTTATTTTTGTGTTGCTGTTGTGCTGTTTTCCCTGGGATTTTAATGTAGTAAAACTGACAAGAGTAGCAATGGCTGCAACGCACATATTTTTTACAAAGATGCAAGTTAATTGTTCCTCGTTCTCAGGTAATATCCTCACCAGGAGAAGAGGTTCCTTCTTGCCACGTACTGACTGGCATGAATTATCTAACTTCACTTCAACAACCAGCTTCTCTTAACAGGCAGAAACCGGAGCTGTGCCAAACATCTGTCCACAGGTGAAAACTTGTCTGCTTTGCTCACTCTTTTATTATTATTTGTTAGTATAAGAAGGTCACAACCTGTGCCTTTTCTTTACTAGGACTTCGGTGTTTGCTAGTGAGCATTTCTTAGCTATGATAAGAAACAGCCAGTCCTGTTTCTGCAGTGTTGTGGAAATTAATAGCTTTG